AACTGTCACGATTTCTCCGTCTGTCCCCTCTCTGAAAAATAAACTGAAACGACTGAGAGATTGGTAAATAAAGCTTCCTTCTTCATTGTGCTTATACATTTTAACATAGTCCACAGTGAAGCCGCTTTTGCCACCGAAGAATAACGTAGGCTGCAGTGCTAGCACACAAACGTGAACTTAACAATCACAAGGGAATTTGCCAGAGTCTACCATTCCGATTTCGAGTGATTTATTACACCCGAATTACCTCACCTAGATGAACGGAAGTTTCTTATCTGGTATGTTTATTACCTTTAGGAATCGTCCCGGGAAATTCTTGCATTCTTTCTCAACGTGAATGTCAGTTGTGATAACTAGAGACATCGGGTTTGAGCGTAGTGGTTCACTTCCGAATTTTGTGAACGATACGGGTAAGAAATGTGGCTCTTTAAAAATACGTGCTTCTCCCACCACATACTAGAAACGGAATGATTTGAGACTGATAGTGTTTTCTATCCTGAACTCCTTCTTCAAGTTATTCCCCCCCCCCCCACCCTTCCCCGAAAATGGCTCACCTCGTCGGATGCATGCTCCACCTATTTACCGGAACATCGAATGCAATACATGAATGTGTAACATAGATTATTAATGAAAACCTATGATTTTGGGAAAATCACCTCTCGTCCGTGTGAACGCTCTTCACTTCTTCGACGTTCCCTAGAACTCCTTGAGCGATATTTATCACTAGATCTGTCGTCTTTATCTCGATGATGTGATTTGTCAGAGCTCCTCTTATCATCTTCCTCATCATTTCTACGCTCCTTTTCTGTATCTTCTTCAGATCGATCTCGCTTTTCCTGACAAAATGTGCATTTGCTATCAAATTCCAATGTCAACCGACAGCTCTAAAGCAATAATAAGCGAATAACTTGGCGTGCAAGTTGAATCCATCTCTCCCCCTATCATTCGCCCGATCCACTATCTTCGATAAACGGCACAGTAAAACATAGTATATGAGGAATGAAAAATACCTCGCGTCGGTGTGATCGTTCACGTTCGGTACTTCTCCTCCTTTCCCTCGAGCTTCTTCGATGATGCTTATCGTTATCTCGCTCATGAACTTTGTCCTTCTTTTGTTCAACCTCTTCCTGTTTCTTCTCTTTCTCTACGGCTTCGTCTGACTTTATGTCTCCTTTTTCTGGCGACTAAACAAAAAATATCCATAACAAAGTGTGCTACATGGAGGAATCCCTCATAAAAGTGAAAGGAGTAACAAAGTTAGATCTAATAAGCATGCACAAACAATCTGAATACCTGACGCCTACGAGAACGTTCTTCACTTCCTTGAGCTTCTTTCGAACTTGTATGACGTTCATCTCCATCTTCATGGTGCGTTTTGTCGGATTCCTTCTTCTTGTGTTCATCGATTCTTTTACGGCCATGTTCCCTGTCCCCCTCCCGCTTGTCATCTTCTATCTGAAAATATTCAACCTAATCAAATTGCCTTTAAAGACGAAGGGTAGATGAGGATTGAAGTAGATATTTGGTGCTGTCGTGGCAGAATGCGCCCTACCACCATGGTTATAAGGTGAAAGAATCCCACGGGATCCATACGGTGGCTTTATTCGAGTCACGGCTCCTGGGAATGTTACCAATTCCGCTTTCGCTTTTGCGTATGAATGATTCGTTTGCGGTCTATCAGTACATTGTAAAGAAAACATACGAAACTACTAATAGGATTATTACAGAACAAGCTGTTGCAACGGCCACTGAAGAGCCAACCGATCACGCATAACCTAGAAGAACTAAAGGATAGGGGCGCTTAGTTTAAAATACCGTTTCAAAGGCAGGTGGCGCTGGCTAGGGTTACGGTTGGGCCGACGAATTGGGAGATTAGGACAGTAGGCAATAGGATATTAGGATATTGCTAGAGTAGTATATTGCGCTGACAAGATAGGATACGTATCGATTGAAATCGCTGGAGAGTAGTAGATTAGGAGAAACCGTCGACACATATCTAATCTTGTCAGCGCACTATCCTATTCTCTTACTATTATGATCCTACTATTCTATTCTCCCCGTCTAATAGATACCTTTTTCATTGCCGTGTACTATCCTAAACTCCGGAGTCGCGAACTATGAAAGCGGCCCGCAACCACGTGACAAGTAGTGCGCCCTTCGCCGGGACACAAGCCTTATTTTGTTCATGGCAGGGAAGGTGCGGCGTCCTTTTTTAGTATGCATCCCTCCCCTTCTTCTATATCCCATTTATCGTAACACCTTTCTTAAGCAGGGTTTTCGATTAAGAGGCAGCCATTAGAAATACATGTAGAGGTGGTCACTTGTACGGAATGAAAAAAATGAGTTTTCCCAGAGCTGGGGAAATGAAAACCCATTGATGCCCATTGATTCCTTCATTGCTGCGACTTCATCGGTGCTGCCCCCTTCAACTCTCTCTCTCTCTCTCTCTCTTCTAAAAAGCTGAAGTCAGAAGGCGGGAGGGTGGACGTGCCGCCGCGCGGACATGGCCCCGCTAAGGCACCGGGGTCATAATATTTGCTGCGAAACGAACGTCATAGCTCATTCGCATTCCCTTCGTCCTCATTGTGGAATCTTTCAGGATATTTTGGAGAGAAAGCACTTTCACAAAACAAGGAGAACATCTAAATTGGAAGGAAAAATGTCACCTCTTTGTTCACTTTATCTAGATCCTCATGAAGTTTTTTGTCAGATTCCTTTTTCGGATGTTCGTCACTTCTTCGACGCTTACGCTCCTTGTCCCCATCCTGCTTCTCATCCTCTCCCTGAAAATTTTCAAACTACTTGAACTGTTCTCTCAGAAACGCTGGAGGAATAAAGAAAACAGAATATTCAGACGCTGCAAAAATTATCTTACCTTATGATCCCGTAAACGCTCTTCACTCTCACGGGTTTCTTTTGAACTTCTTGTACGAGGTTTATTGCCATCTTCTTGTGTTTTGTTTGAGCTATGTTTCGCCTTCTCGGCAGTTCTTTGAGATTTGTCTTTATCACTTTCGCTACGTGTATGACCTTCAGGTTCCTGCAAAAATTTGAAATATAAAGATTGATCCAAAAACTGAGGTACAACGTCCCACAACCTACCACTTGAATGTAAGCTCACAACCAAAGAACAAAGCGGTAATTCCAAAAAAAGAAATTAATAGGGAAGATCAAGAAGTTCCTCAGATGATGCACAGCAAGCAAATGACATACACGAAAACACCAGGTGTGCAAGAAATTCGCCATGTGCAACAACAAGCAACTGTTGCAACAGATGCTGTTGATTATTTGCTGGACAGGTTGTGAAGAGAAAAAAAAGTTACATATCTACCATTTTCAGAGTTTCGATCCAATAATGCCCTTTATCGACACGGATCCAATATTTTCATGCGAAATTTTCCGGTACGCATTCGAAGCAATCATCACAAACGCTTCTATTTCAGGTTTCTAATCGCAAGGCGCGTCTAGTCGCACTATTGGCGGTGAACGGCAGGCACTTTTGTTATGAACCCAAAAACATCACGACCCTCTCAGCACAGACGCTATGCAGGTCAAAAAACTAGTAAGATCGGAAAAGCTGACCAAAAATTCCAACTAGCCTTTTTTTAACAAGCCGTATATGTACTCAACAACGATCGACTTGACAATCATGAACAAGAAGCTAATCAGACGGTGCCTCGAAAAAAAGTGCAGTACCTCGTGATCACTGTGCCGCTCCTCACTTCTTCGATTAACCCGAGAGCTTTTAGAGTGGTGTTTGCCACTTTTATGATGTTCCTCACTCTTACGGTTTTCGCCGTGGTCCTCCTTCGGTTCTTCATCTTCCTTTTCGTGCTCTTTCTCTTCAGGCTCGTGTGACCTCTCTGCCTCCTAAAAGTGACTATGGCTAGTAAAAGCGAACTTTCAACCGAAAAATGCCATCTCAAATCTGCGTCCAACATTCAAAAGACAAAAACAATAGTAGTACCTCATCTCTAGGTAGGCGTTCTTCATGACTGCCGTTTTCTTCTGAAGTTTTAGAGGGATGCTCATCGTTATTCTTATCGCTCTCATTGCCGGAGACCTTCTCCTCTTCATCTTCCCTATGTTCATCATCAGATTGTTCAATTTCATCTTGCTTGTTGTCGTGCTCTTCTTCTAGCAACTGAACGAAATCTGATAGTTATTTTATCATAAGCAGAGCGACTTACTGCCTATGTTAAGGCATGCCCCAGGATCGCATTGGTGTGGCTCTTGCACACGAATGCGAATGTATTGGTGCGAAATGGGCCGGCAGTGAAGAAAAAAAGGAAAAGAATCCGTCGAAAACGCTTAGGTTAAGGGCACCTTCCTAATCGGCTGTGCTAAGGGAATGAGAGACTAAGCGCGGAGAGGAGAGTATGAGGCGAGAGAGCGCTACAGATGAGAGAGCGCCAGACAACAGCCTGATAAGAGAAAAAAATCTGCAGCTTCAGCAGCTTACTTTGCAAGGCCCAAGCGCTCTTGTCGGTTGGTTTCCGTGCACGGGAACGCCACATTTGTGATTGTCCTCTAGGGTCTATACTACAGAAAGAAGGGAAGCGTTCACACGACCTCTGCCTGGGTTGTGCCTTTAAAACCGTTCACGTCAAAAAAAAAACAGAGGAAAACAGGGGGCAAACACTTGCCGTGAATTGTGGTCGGGCGTATAGCGCTAAGCAAGAGCACGAACATTGCAATTCAAATTTCGCACTTAACAGAACGCGCAACACCGAGCTGAGCAAAATCTGAACTGTGAAAAACCGAACGTCGTGCTCTAGCATTCTGCTAACGGCCCATCTAACATGCCAAAATGGTGCATATGCTGCGTCGCCAGATTTGTGCATCAAAACTCTTCATGGCAATTCCTATGCACGATAAGTACCGCTTTGCTCAAATCGTGGTGAGGTTCTGATGAGTTAAGGCTCAATAAGTTTCCAGCAGAGTGTTAGTAACAGGAACCTACCTCTTCTTCTTCGTTAGAATCATCGTGTTCATGCTCGGAGAACTTCCGCCTTTCATTTTCTTCATCATTGGCCCTTCTCTTCTCCTTATCACGTTTCTCCTGGAACACAAAAAAAAGCATGAATATATGCCAAACAAGATTGCCTGCTTTGAGGAGGCTTCCCAACGAAATCCTTAGAGGAAAACTATATACTACGTTTAAGTACTTACCAAATTTTCCCGAGCAATCCTCTCCTGCTCTTCCCTTTCCCTCATAGCACGTTCTTCCCTTAGTTCCATCATTCTTTTCAAAGATATAAGTTTGGCCTGAAGTTAAGAGTACTGATTTCAACGAATACTGAAAGAACAGCTCGAACGAATTGGGATACACATCAATGCAAACATAAAATGAAACAAAAACAACAGTGAAATAAGGTGCACACTGTTTGTGAAGTACATCAACCATCGTTATGTGTTCTCACCTCTTCACGTTTCCAGTGCGGCGGGGTTTTGTCACGGAACTGAGATGTGAACCGCATCTGGCCTCTTCCTTTCACCTTGATTTGCTTTTCCGGTGGAGGACGTTCGGTTCTTCCCTGCAAACGCAACTATTTATGACACGCTAGTAGCTTTCGGTGTGAAAGAAGCTCTATAAGAAGCAATCCTCACAGAGCGTCTACGTGATCTTGAGCGAGATCTTCTCCTGTGATGAGAACGAGAACGTGATCTTCTCCTATGTGCAGAGCGTGAGCGCGATCTCCTCCTGCGAGCAGAACGTGAGCGTGACCTCTTCCGAGCTGGAGAGCGCGTTCGAGACCTTTTCCTTTTTTTATCGCTCTAAAATGTTCGGAAACGCATTTAAAAATCCAATTAATCAGTCTTGAAAAGAGAAGAAAAGAAGACTAACATCACGTGACTTGTCTTTTCCTGCATTTCCACCATTTTCCTAAAGCAAATAAATCCATCTTCCTAAATGTAGAATAAATGAATATTTTCTTCTTCTCGGAAAACGCAAGAAGCGCACGTGTTACTGTGAAACACTCAAAACGACGGCAAATATAAAAGAACAGCTCCCCATCAACTTGGCCCTACTGAGAAGAGACTATTTCCAATAACATATACATGCTTCCGCTCCATCAATCAATATTTTCCAAGCGACATTTTTCGGATACTCATGAGATTGCCGCCAGATCTCGCAGAACCCTAGTGTGCGGTATTAACACGTTGACGACACGCGTATTTTCCCTTGTCGCGCGCATGGGACGAGGCGTTTTTTGCATGCAAAGCGCCGGTAACACAGGGCAAAATCTATTTTGTAGCTCTGTAAAATCTCGAAATGCACAAAATGCCTTTGACTAGAGTACTCCAGACACATTTAGAAACAAGGAAAAGTTGTTACTACTGAATGTTTATGAAATTTCAGTGACATCGCCTGACATTTTCAAAACCTAGGAGGAGATTGAAATAAAAGGCAAAATTCCACGCAGTTTTCATTTTTGTTATTAACGTGAACTTTGTTTTTTATGAATTGGTATCCTACGAAGATCTAAAATGTCCAAGATGCGAGAAACTCCGCCTGCCAAACGGAATGACGCCTCTTTTTTAATTGTTAGCTTGCATTCATGATCAAATAAGGCGGAAAAATTGATTCAAACGAGTCAAAAAAGGTCAGAAAAATCGCTTGAGGATGATCTCAGACACCGAGCTTCTAAATATTTACTTTTGCATTTGCTTAGGCTGGTGTCAGAGTCCGCGATCCGATTCGCGCGATTTTCGCGAAACCTGCGATGGATCACAGGAGTTGGAAGTGCCCGATGAATACTGCGAGGTGTTGTTTAATCCTGCTGCGAATTCTGCTTGGCAGTAAAGATTGGAAGACGAATGTTTGTGTTCAATGTCTATTAGTTCATTGAAATGCTCTTGAATCGTTCCTATTTTTTTTTCAGGAATCAAACCAAACCAATCACAAAAATTGCAAGTGCCCCATTTGAACAATTGAAACACTGGATATGAAACAAGTGGAATCATGAGCAGTCTCCATTAAACCATAACCATCAAGCAGAAGTGACGGCGGGATTGGAGAACACCTTGCAGTATGGATGGGGCACTTGTGATTTCCGTGACCCGTCGCGCAAATCGCGGACTCTGACATCAGCCTTAGGAGTGACACTGTGCCTACTTGACCATTAAAGCCATTTCAGAGGTCTAGAGATGGGTTTCTAATGTCGGCAATTTCGTAATAAAAGGCCGATATGAACATCCTCAATGACATCTTCACTTTGCTGATAGTAGGAACTTTGTGGCTGTAATTCAATTGGCGACGCATTTTTGCAGTCGATAATTAATACAAGAAAGAAGTTCCTGCAATGAGAAAGGTCACGGGTCGCAGCCGAGTTTAGTATCTTAGGACCCTGAAGTAATTGTTGAAATAGAAAACTCGCGGTTTGTTTAAGTTTCCTTGCTTTCAAGCTGTCGGTCACCATTGACCGACATCGTCCCATGGGACAGACTGCCTGTCGGTCACCATTGACCGACATCGTTGTAAACACATCAAACATATAGCCAAGCAGATTTCATCAAAATCGTGAACTTAAAATATGACCACTCCTGTTGTTATGGTTTTGGCAGCATATTAGCGATGAAGCAACGAGTTCTACACCGCTCTACGCAATACTTTACCTAACACTTTGGTAATCGGTCATGAACTAGTGAGAAATTGCATGGCGCGTGGTGTAGCTATTTTCGTAATAGAGGATAATATGGAAGGGATAATACTGCTCCTCATCTGAATCCGTCGAGTCCAGCAGTACTGCAAAAAACGTAAACTACCATTTGAGTTTATTGCTTCCCCAAAAGTTGCGGAAATAGACTGCGACACTATGAAATTCGGGTTAATTGCAGCACATAAGAATGTTAATTGGTACATGTACATGGCGTTTGCAACACCTAGGTAACCTACCTTAGCCTTCTTGCGATCTTCAGGTGTCTTCGACCGGCGCATAAGAAAAGAGTGCTGATTGGGCGGCTCGGGCGGAAGGTCCTCCTTCCTTATTGAACACACCTGATGAAAAGCCTTATGTAAATGACTATAAGAACAAGAACAATAACAATTGGTGATCGAACTCCACAAAATGACAGCATTGCAGGTATGGGGATAAATATCGTACCGCTACAGCATCCCTTTCCTTATCTGTTTTCTCAGTTTCTTCAATAACTGCGCTTGCTTCCTTATGTTTCCTTTTCTTTTTGTGCTTCTCATCTTCGCTGAAATGGGATTATGAACCATATCCCAAAACACAACAACCTGAGGCAGAACAAAACAAAGTACCTATCCGAGGAATCGCTTTCTGAACTGCTGCTCACTTCCTTCTTTCGTTTTCTCACCAATTCTCCACAATTTGTGATGATCACATCGGCAACCGGACAAGACCTAGCATTCACTTTGAGATGCTCTACTTCAGTTACAACTTCACTACCAGAAATTACCTAAATAAATGCAGTTAAGGGCTAGAAGACAAGCTAGTACTGAAATAGAAGGAACTTCATTCCATGATATTTGGAACCCAACTAGAGAACGAGTTACAAGTCCCAAATCAGACCTGAAGCTGAATATGATTCCAACTATACCTTGCCGAAAACCACGTGCTTATTGTTCAGGTGCGGTGCCGGCTTCGTTGTGATGAAAAACTGCGATCCATTGGTATTTGGTCCCTTAGAACGAAAGTTTGAAGAAAGATTAGAATTAGGATCGATCTCAAATTTGTAGCAATTCAACAGTACGGGATACCTTATTTGCCATTGACAGAAGGAAGGGCTGATCATGCTTAAGAATGAAAGGCTCGTCATCAAACAGCCCTCCATAGATTGATTCACCACCAGTTCCTTTACCAGTCGTGAAGTCACCACCCTGAAAAAGTCCTTAAGTTTTTGCAACAAAAAATGTTTTTTGAAGAGCATCTCCTGAAAATATCACACAAGTTATTTGAGTTGAAATTATTTTATTTCTTTACATAGAGCTTATACAGCAGAAGGTCACAATCATTTACATACCTCTTAACACTCCGAAACTATTTGGGCTGTAAGTAGTAAATGAATCGTTTACCTGTGTTTAAGGTTTTGACAAACAAAGTCACATGAGAAAAATCTCACCTGGATCATGAAATCCTTAATGACTCTGTGAAAAGTCGATCCCTTGTAGTGCAGCGGTATTCCGCTCTGTTTGCCTAGTCCGGCAGATCCAGTACAGAGCTTCACAAAGTTTTCGGTTGTTTTGGGTGCTGTAAATGGACGGAAATTCTTGATTTCAAATAAAAAGAGCAAAAGCAACAATAATGGCAAGGACCTATTTATCAATCGGAGTCAACCCGACAACAGAATCCGTCACAACCATTGGCCGATGTCAGACTTTGCGATTGGAGCGATTTTGCACCAATTGCAGGAGCGACGGATCGCTCCAAAGTGCGAGCGACGGGAGATTTACCCCGCCGACGACCGATACACACGGCGCCGCTCGGGTAAATCTCCCGTCGCTCGCAGTGCGAGCGACGCGAGATTTACCCCGCCGACGTCGCTCGCACTTTGGAGCGATCCGTCGCTCCTGCATTGGGGAGTAATCATTTTGTACTCCTACTGACTAGTATAGGGCGCCATTCGTTGCGGGACCCACTGCCTTAACCCGCGGGGATCCCATGCGATCGCGGTTGGAATTCGAACATTCCAGCTTCTCACGCATGTCAAGTGACTGCCCTCACCCCCCACCCCCCTAGACTGGCGACACTGCCCCTGGCTCACGGATTCCCCGCTCCACATTGAAGGGTTCACTGTAGCAGGAGGCAGTGGGACCCGTAACGAATGGCGCCCTTTACTAGTCAGTAGGAGTACAAAACGATGGCTCCCTGCATTGGTGCAAAATCGCTCCAATCGCAAAGGCTGACATCGGCCATCGAGACGACACTTACTGGACTAGTTCCAACGACAAATCATGCATGAACCAGGTTTACTAGGAAAGAAAGCGACTATTTCGCGTTTTGCGCACGAAACATTTTTCGCTGCAAGGAACTCCAGGTCCACTCATGATCAGCGGTGGACCTGAGGTTCCTGCAGCGAAAATGTTTCGCGCTGCGAAACGCGAAAAAGTCGCTTTCTGTCCTAGTGAACCACACCTCATGAACCTCTTCTTCTTCTTCCTCTCCTCCCTAGCGTTAGTTTCGCGCCGGAGCAGGGTCTGCTGAACCATACCCCATGAACCATGTCTCTTAAAGCTGCCTCACCAATCACCGTGTGGAAAAACTGGTATGGCATTCCAATGTTTCAGAAAACCATTTTAAGAGTAGAGGGTGAAGGTGTGCTCCCCCCCCCCCCACCTGCCCTAGAAAGTGTATCGAGTTGCACTTCCTTGACCGTTATCATAATTCGGGCACAGACAAAGAAAGCTCCGCCTCGCAAAAAAGAACTAAATTTGATCCTGAGTAAGAAAGATTAGATTAATAATTTGGAGAATGCAAGGACTTTATTACAGACTACTTAACAACAGCTCCTTTTCCGGCTAGTGAGCACGAGTTGGTCCGCAATAAGAAAGAAGCCAAGCAACCCTCACCGACATCGTCGAACAATTCGAACACTATTCTTCCAGCTTCGCGACCATCGATAGCGATATCAAAGAAACAACGTCTGCGGTTCTTCCCCATTACAGAGAATCGTTACTAAAATAAAATCAATGTGGGGAACAATAATATCCACTTGTGAGTTTGCTACGAAAGAAAGAGACATTTCGCATTCCGCAGCGCGAAAAATTCTTCGCTGAGGGGACCTCAGGTCCACCGGACCTAGAGTTTCCCAGCGAAAAAGTTTCTTTCTGATCTAGCGAACCACGCTCGCAAACTACAGCACAATTATGACACCCAGAAGGCGAAGCATCTATGAATCAAGAAACAATCCCACCACATGGATGAATCATAGACTTTACGATTCCAACAAGCGTGAAAAAAACTGTAGAACACCCCGTTTCTAATCAAAAAAGGAACTATAGCAAAGAAAACAACCAAGGCCAACGATACGATGCATTGTCACTGGAAGCCGTTTTTGAAATGGCGGTGCCGGTTGTGGCGAGTGTGCTTACGGACTTCTGCTCCTACAGTGCGCCGAAATCGCAAAAAGTTATGGGACTAGTGGTCAAGCGCATTGTGAGTTGAAAGATATGGGCGCTCTCGTCGTTAGAGGTACATTAGAGGGAGCCACTCACGTTCATCATGAAGGTGGTAGTATACTGTCCCTTGGGCAGGAGATTTGTTTGTGTGGATGATGTGGTTCTTTTAGGTTGACATCGACTGGTGTTTAGTTTTTGGTTACGGCAAGACTTGGATTGATTGAATGTTGCACTCTGAGGTGGTAACTGGACTTTGCATAGGGGCTGGAATTCGACTAATGGTTGGACTTTAGGTACGGGCAGGACTTCGATTGATTGTTAGACTCTGGCTTCTGTGTATAGATTGGATAGAAACTGCACGTGTTCGTCTATAAGAGTTTACTTCGATAGTCTAGGAAATGTGGACAATGTACAAGTTCAAAAAAAAATAAGAAGTAAGGTCTATATCCAATATGAACGAGTTGAAAAGGGATTTATGTTCAATGCGTACCAGTCAAAAGGTTAAAAGAAGGCAATGACTATGATTTATTATTGGATGTAAAAGCAAACACAACAAAGCAAGTGTGGTGACTTAGGCGGAAGGGTGGCGCCTTAATTACGAGAGATGTATGAAGGTGGTTCAGTGGTTGGACACAAAATTTATCCTAATGGCACACAAGACACCCTGGTTCGGGCCGAACAGAAACCACAATGCCCTAAGCCCCGCCCCTAAGGAGCGGGGGTGACCGCGGGTTCTGGCCTGCGCCAGAACAGCAAGTAAGACATCAAAATTACCAGTAAAGCAGCAAGTAAAGCATAGGAAATAGCAAGTACAGCTCAGCAAGAGTGATGGTGGAAAGAGGATGCACATGGTGAAGATCAGCGGGTCGCCAGCACTGCAAGCAGCGGGAAATAGAGCGTCTCCGGATGAACTTAGTAGGTCCGTCAACACTACCATGGTCCACGCGATGAAACTAGAGCCTAGACGCGATCAGATATGATGAGTTTCATTAAATAATGCATATGTTAGCAAACGAAAAAAAGCAGCCATAAATGAACGCGAAAATGGAACTCTCAAGGACGGTCACTTCCAACTGACACAACATTCAGTACAACCACACCAACTGGCACAACATTCAGTACAACCACACTCGGCTTGGCTGATTTGTACAGGTCTAATAAATTACTCTAAACTAGCCTTGACTTTTTAGGAGTTTCTGACCTTTTCCTTAAAAGGTTTCAACGTCACTCCATCAGCCGACAGGATGTTCCAATACGATATGACCCTTTGCGAGATGCTGTTTCTATACGTGCTAGAGTGGTCCTTTTCTCTCAATAACCTGAAGTAGTACCCTCCGGTGATGTCTATAGTTCCAGGCCTTCAAATAACTAGCACAATATCAAGCTCCCTCAAAAACCCTATAAAGTTTATATAAGGTTTACAATCAGTATGCATTATAAACGCGAAACGTGCCTATAGTGGATTACTTCCTTGAAATGGATTTTGCTCTCTCCTCGTCGCTCGTCTCCTCATCTTGAATCTCTGATTATCTGGGAAAAAGGATCCAATGTCAGCACCTTCAACATGTGATGTTGATCATTAGAATTTTCCACTCGAATTTTGACCCTCTCAAAGAGGTGCATCTCCCTATTGATTCGATACCGGTGATCCTTATTCTTCTTATGGAGCTCTTTCGGTTCATCATGTCTCTGGAACTAGGGTATTCAGTACGAAATGAGGCGTATGAGCTAATACAATTACCCTTCCGGCGTGTATAATAGCTCCTCCCACAGTGAGGGACAACACTGCAGCAGCATAGCAGTCCACTCAGCCAGAGTTTTTGGGGCCTTTCAGGGAGATCTCCGAGTACTCTGGAAGGAAACTAAATTGAAACTATTTTTCAAGCTTGATATTTCTACATAACAACTTGTTGAAAGACCCTGCAAAATTACTGGTCAAAAGTCAGGCTTGTTCCACTTGCTACACATCTTCCTAAACATATCTTTATATGTAAAAGACAGAGGCCTTCCGGTGCAAATCCACAGGTAGAACAACTAACCCCCTGATAGCTTACCTTCATTGCTCAATAAGAGCGCACTGCAGGTTCTCTCTTACCTGTGGGAGCAATCCAAGTGCATCTCTTTTCTTTTTCCGTCCTGAGCTAGATGAAAAGCGCACCCTTCTACAGATGCAGTTGGGGAGGCCCTAACTGCCGCATTGATCGCGCGGCTTTTCCAAAATCCGCAATGATTTGCAGGCCTGGAGGTCCTCCCGCAACAGCGATCTTTTCCAAATATTGCTTGGTACACCAGTTTCTTTTTCCTGCAAAGTCAAAGCACAAAAGATTGCAATGAAGTCGAAGATCAGATGACACGATACCCCAATGTGGTGGCACAGAGCAACGACACATCCACGGAGTTCGCCAACACTTCATAGATGATGTATACCTGACCTGTTTTGTCGAAAGCGTTAAGCCGCAGATCACGCACACCGTCCGGCACCGACGCATGAAGTTCGCTGTTTCGATGGAGAAGCATTTGGAGCGAAAAGTTCGTGTGATTATAACTGCTTTCAAGAATTTATCGCTGCGTTTGCTGGGAAGAAGTAGATGTGCAGTCCGAAGTAAAGAGCTGCAGAACGAAGTGCCATCGGTTAGAACGCGCATTCTTTCGAGAAGTTTTCCATGGCCACTCTATTGTCGTACAGCTTTGCAGCTGCTCTAAACACTTCCCTGAAGAGATTTGTTTGCTTTGTACAATACACTCTTCATTCCTACGAAGTCGACGGTTTGCGAGAGACAACTCCGTCGCAAAATGTCGACTTGCCACAACTCGGTTAAAGTAAATCAAAGCATTTATATTGCAATGGGTAGGTACATCCCAATGTAGAGCTGGTCCGATCGTAAAGAATAGGAGATTGAGCTTTTGATAGGTCGATCGTATTTTGATGGTTTTCCGTCCGTATTCGCTTTCATATCGAATCATACCTACCTCGCAATCGCGCGACGGTGATCTTCATATCCGTACTCCTGTTAGAATTGTGGAGCAAATCATCTCGCTCTAATTCTTCTGGACGTGTCACATTATCATTTTCGATAAAGTTAATGCTGAGGCTCACCTGAAACCTCGTTATTGAACATCTGGTTCGCAATTTCCGGTATAGCTGTCCTGGCTTGAGATTAGCCATCCGCGCATCCTTAGAAAATTTGTGGCATGATTAATGAATTGGATGTTTGGATGATTTCTACTATTTTAAATCAATTCCACCACCTACCATCCAACTCACTCTTTCCTGTGCATTTTTCTATGGACGGCAAACGTGCATGGACAGGATCTCCCACGAGGTCGCGCCCTTCCACAACTTGGAATTACGAATTTGGGGCTATCGTTACTGTGCCAGCTGGTTAAGCCACCATTACCACTACTGCTGGCTCTACCACAATGGTCCTCCATTCTTTCCTGCATCCTGTGCACCGGTACACCGCTCACCCTTGAATTGTCGTTCGCAGGTGCTCGAACATGTAGCGCAGCCACTATCCCATAACAGAATTTATTGGGGTATTGAATATTTGAAGAATCGCACTGCAAGAAGCTGCATGGCTAAGTTTTCCTTGCCTACCTGGAATAGGATAGCGTACCACCGTATGGACCTATTGCTTTCTGTCCTCCAAGAAACTACGGAATCGTTCCCCGCATGGGGTACCCGTTGTCGAGGGCGGGACACATACGCTCAGTAAAATCTGTATTTTGGTAATGGCGATAACTAGCTTACAGAGTTACCTTTTGACGCAAAGGGCTGCTACAAGTACTGGGTATCTCGTGGCGGCATCGACGGGACGAACACCTGAATTGCACTTCTACTACAGTAAATACCGTGTTATCCATTCCCGTCTACCTTCTACTGCGCCGGCGATAAACGATACCTTCTGAAACATCTCCAGTTCCATGAGAGCCCTGAAGAGGGCTGTTGGTAATAATTGACCATGACGCTACATTCACGAAGGGTTCGTGTTTTTCGAGAACCTGATTCGATGGTATGGATGAATGGCATGTGTACAGTACTCGCCGTTTGAAATCGAAAATTCACGCGAATAACGCGAATCCTCGTTAATTTCGTGAATTCGTTATAACTCGGTTCAAAATTGAGCTTTCGAGAATCCGAAGATATCTTTGAATTCAGCTCGTCGGACACTATAAGAATGTGATACTTTGGAAAAGCTCCATATAGGATTGCGCCATGCACTCGATTTTCATCTCAAAAAGTAGTTGCTCGCATGTGATGTGTATATAATCCCGCTTATGCGGGCTAACCGCTACACACAGAGAAGGGCCTCGAAACATACCCCGGAATGCGCCACGTACTCAATTTTATC